ACCAGAAGTTGTTTATGCTTTCAGCAGTTCCGGTACGTCCCAGCTCGGATTCTCTGGAAAGGCTGGATTGTTCACATGTCCCTTATTTCGTAAATATCCTTCCACACGTGTCCCTGTCCCTTCTCTCCTAGGAAACATCCCTGCTAGACCAACCTGAACGGCGCTGGTCCAAGCCATGCTTGCATCCCCAAGAGATGGAGAAGGGGACATGGGTTTCTCAAGAGAAGCTGCAGGATTCCCCAGAATAACCAAAACAGACGGACAGCAGGTTGACAACACTTTTAGATAGACACCATCAAAGCACCATGCACCTTCCCTGCCCTTTGTGTAGGAAGTGAGTGCAGGATGTCATGGGACAGGAGCACGACACTTATCCCCATAACTTGTGACACCAGTTGGTTTGACACCCTCCCACTCACACCTACCATGGTGTCCCCTCCCCACAGCTTCACAAGCATCACGGCCTGAGTGTCTGGTGACATGGCCAGGATTGCTGGTACGAAAGACACAGGATGAGAAACACCAGCAATGATGTCTCTGAGGTTGCTATTGATGGATGATGACAATCCATGCACGGGCAGATGTCCTTTGACTTCTAGAGCCATTGGCTGGCACCAGGGTGGGTATGCTGCAGCTCATGCATCTTGCTGTGCTCAGATCACCCAAGGCAAGATCCTGGAGTCATGCCCAAGGTCAGCTAACAAACCTGGTGTTCCAGCCATGTCTGAGTAAATAAGCTGAGGAAGGTTCCAGCGATATCCCAAGTGTCACTGCTGGTCCCCAGGAGCATCAGGGATGAGGCAATAGGGAGATGCGGGGAAAAGTGCATTATCTTAGGGGAAAAAAACAGGCACGGTGGCTCTTCCATGTGACAGGTCTGGTGGTTTCTCCTAGAAGCTGCCTGTTGGATGAGGTTTTATGTGGTCTCCAGCCCTTGGAAGCAGGTGGGGTGTTAAGCACTGAAACTGTTGCTTCTAGCTCTCAAATTTATGCAAGATCTTGAAAATGCAACCGGAGGGCAACCTACAGAGAAAGGTTGTTGTATCCCAGAATGGTTTGGGTTGGAAGGGACCTTAAAGGCCATCTAGTTCCAATCCCCTGCCATGGGCAGAGACACCTTCCACCAGACCAGGCTGTTCAGAGACCTGTGAAACACTTCCAGGGATGGGGGATCCACAGCTTCTCTGGG